ATACCCTGAACATACTTTCCAGAAGGCCAACAATTCACTAAAAATGTTTCTTTTTATTGGTCTTATGAAGTATTCTAATTTGTTGAGCTAGTGAATTGGTGGGTTTTTGTTAAATGTGAGCCAAAATCATCACAATTAAAAGAACCAAAGACTTAAACTTCTTCAGTCTGTGTGCATTGAATTTATTTAATACACGAGTTTCACAATTTGAGTTGAATTACTGAAATAAATGAAATTTTCCACGACATTCTGATTTATTGAGATGCACCTGTATGTGCGTCTGAAGGACTTGTCATTTTGCATTATTGACACACTATTTTCCTAATTAATGCTGTTCAGTTGCTTTGACACAATCTGTATTGTTAAAAGCACTATATAAATAAAGGTGATTTGACTTGACTTGTTTTCCAAGAGGGTGAGACTTGATTCTACCACTAAAATGGACATGATGGAAACTGTGGTTCTGGAACGGTATATGCGAGTGTTGCATCCTGAAATTTGAACGTGGGTGAAAGAGAGGAGCCCTGGGACGGCAGCAGAGGCAGCGAACTTTGTCGAGGATTATATCGCGGCAAGAAAAGGGTCCTCGGGAGTGTTCCGGTATGCCGGCAGCCTACAGGGCAGCAGAGGTAAGTCTGGGGGGTTGGGAGGCAGTGCATACTCTAGGTCTCAAACCCAGGTTTTAAAACCCAGCTACCCTAAGCCCGTACCCCCTGTACTAGTACGTCAGTCAGCAGCTAAGGGTGAGGTTGTATGTTACAAATGTGCAGAATCGGGCCGTATAAGCACTCATTGTCCGATTTTAAAGCCTAAGTCAGCGAGTTTGTGTTATTTACCGAGCCCTTTGATGACATTGATGGCGAGCAAAGAGCCGACTGTTTCAGTTTTGTTGAATGGCAAACTAGTAACAGCTTTAGTAGATACAGGTTGTGCACAGACGCTGGTAAAAGAGCAGTATGTGCCAAGGGAGACATGGACTGAAAGTACGGTTTCTGTATGTTGTGTACATGCGGATAGATCAGATTTACCAACTGCTGAAGTGTATATTGAGATTAACAAACAGCCATACTTGATGAAAGTAGGAATTGCTGCTACATTACCATATCCGATTGTGTTAGGTACGGATATGCCGATTTTAGCAGATTTGGTGCAGGAAACCGCTTGGTGTGGGGTTGTAACGAGGGCACAAGCGCAAAGGTTAACTGACTGTTCACAGCCACAAAATTTTGCACAACAGACCCTTCATGAAATGCCATTTTTCAATGATGAGATAGTAGCTGACACAAAGCTAAGTGTTGATGAGAGGTTGCAAAATCACAGGTATGGTATGGCTGACGTTTTGTATACACCACGGCAGTTTGAACTGGAACTGGAAGAGCCAGATGGGCTTGATTCAGATTTTTGCATACCCAATGAGCTAGCAGAATTGCAGAAGGAAGATGCTACTTTAGCAGACTGTTTTAGTAGAGTTGGAAAAGGAACCGATGTAGATATGTTGAAGGGTGACAGGTTTCTGGTGAAACAAAACCGGTTTTATAGACAATCTAAGGAAGATGGTATGCAGCTTGTGTTACAGGAAAAGTTTCGTAAACAGGTGGTAGAACTGGGTCATTCAGTGCCATGGTCAGGACACTTGGGGTTCACGAAAACGTTAATGAGGATTGCAAAGAGATTTTATTGGCCAGGTATGTATAGTGAGGTGAAGGATTACTGTAGGACCTGTCCGGAATATCAGTTAACTGCGGGCAAAGCACCTGCTAGAGCACCTTTAGTATCAATTCCTGCAGTTGACACTCCTTTTGAGAAAATAGCAGTAGATGTTGTTGGCCCTTTGCAAAAGACCCAGAAAGGCAATAGGTTTATCCTACCAGATACCCGGAAGCATACCCATTAAGGCAGGTTACTGCAAAACAGGTGTCAAATGCACTGCTCCATTTTTTCTCACATGTAGGCATTCCGAAGGAAGTGTTAACTGATCAGGGCACGAATTTCATGAGCCATACACTGAACCAAGTCTATCAGCTGCTGGGTATTAAAAGAGTGCGCACTAGTCCCTACCACCCCCAGACTGATGGGCTGGTGGAACGTTTTAACCCGTGACCATTTATGAACTATGGGCACGTACTCTCATAACACACACACATAGCAGGTAGCATTACACGGTCTGTTTGCCGGCACTGACATTTGTACACAGATTTATGTAATGCTTGAATTATACGAAGCTTGTGTAGGATGTGTTTGGTGTGTGTTGAGTTCATGTGTGTATTATGTTCATGGGGAAGTCTGTACATGTTCAATGTGTTGTGTGATGTAGCCATTTAACATAACGTGACGGCATGTATAAGTTCTGTTTATACCAATACTCCTTGTACAAATAACCATAAGACTTATTCATGGTGTTAAAACATTTATTTGATAGAAGTTCATACAGATGAACAGATATACTTACTAGCAGTGAAACATCAGTGGCCAAATCTGTGCTGTACAAACCTTGAGGTATTTAAACCTGATATTTTTATTACATATGGTCTGTCTACATATATTTCAGAGTAGATAAACAATAGTTTATTTTCAGCGAAGGCTATGTTTCACCCAGATATTTATCGCTCTGATAAAGGTCGGTTCAGAAAAATACGATCATATACAACTATATAAGTGTAGAGCTAGTCATAGCTACATGCTCACCCTTGTAATAATCTAAGATATGGACAGTTTTTTAATTTAGCCTTTTAAGCTGGAATATGGTTTGAAATAAGATAAATAAAATAAATATTTCTTTCCATGGCATAAACAGCCCGCGCGATCATTTAAAATATGTGAAATAATTTATAAATATATGTAATTGTAAGGCAAAACATTTGAAATGTTATGAGGTGATGGTGGATAACGTAGAATGTCGACTGTTAGTTCAAATAATTAACAATTTAATTAAATTAATAATATAACAATTTTAAGTGTATTGTTTGTGTGTGTGTGTGTGATTGTATTAAAACTTTAAAACTTTCTTATTTTAAGCATAATCTTCAAAGAATCTAAAGTGTTTGATGCGTAATAAATCTAATATAAATTATAATTTTGTTGAAATTTAAGAATCACCGGACATCAGATGTAGTAGGGATACTGCTTATTTAAACTTTACATTAATGTTATGCTTTAAAATACATGTAGCACATTTAAACCATTCTTTTAGATCATCTGTCTGGAACTCCTCCCTCACTGTGAGGGCTCTGAAGCAGACCCTCAGTTTCACATATAGGAGAATACTCCTACGAGGACCTGTGAGATTTTGTTTATGATTCAACTTAAACATTTTTATTTTCTTTTGGAAGCATTTCATTCATGTCTGGACATCGTTGCGTAAAGTTCTATCTCTTAGCACTCTAAAAAAAATGTAAGGCATCATTTTTCAGATTTATTGTGACCTAAAACTATATTAAATGTTTGTTTTATACAACGTGTTATATACAATTAAAGTTTTATTTGCTACTATCTTCTTTAAAAGAAGAGAATAGTGTGTTTTATAAGATCAATATGCTTAAATAAGTGTTGAATACATGTTACTGAAGCTAATAATTTATCGTACATTTAAACATGTTATTATGATGTCATATTTTATTATTTAAAATAGAGATAAGTCTCTCTTTAGCGCAAAATGTTTATGTATGTGCGTGCTTGTTTATATGACTTATCAGGACACAAATTTGTATAATTACTCAGAAATTTCATCATAAACCAAATTTACGTTGATATATCAGAGTTTTGAGTCCTCATAATTAAGATTGCTTATAAACAATATTAAATTAAAAATGTAAGTATGTGCAGAAATTTTTGTGTGATGGGTAGGTGTTTGTACAGTGCAAAATCATTACGCCTATGGAGTGTCCCCAGAAAACAAAAACCAAGGCGTGTGTGTGTGTGTGCATGTGCGTGTGTCAGCACGACTGCCTCAGACTGACATTTCACTTCTGTTAGTGAGAAGAGCTCAAAGCAGGATTTAATTTTCCAACTTATGTACATTTTGTAAACATTTTACTCGAGGGTATGAACGTCACTGGCCCCAGAATAATGTAAAGCATTTTTATTGTCAAATGAAACTATAAAAAAAATAAACATTTACTATAAAGTATGTTATGTATAATCTCTGGTGCACTGGAAATGTTTTGACATGATTGTACATGTTTGTGTTTTTGCGAAAACGATGTTTATGCGTAGGATGTACAATGTGCCCATTGTTGTGCCATTCATCAACGAGGCCGCTGAACGAGCGTGACACACGGCTGGAAAGCAGCGGAGCTTTTACTATGCCACAGTCGAGCGCTTCCGCTCCTTCCGGTCGTGCGTATGTGGGGTAAAGCAGCGGAGCTTTTATTATGCCACAGTCGAGCGCTTCCGCTCCTTCTGGTCGTGCGTATGTGGGGTAAAGCAGCGGGGCTTTTATTATGCCACAGTCGAGCGCTTCTGCTCCTTCCGGTCGTGCGTATGTGGGGTAAAGCAGCGGGGCTTTTATTATGCCACAGTCGAGCGCTTCTGCTCCTTCCGGTCGTGCGTATGTGGGGTAAAGCAGCGGGGCTTTTATTATGCCACAGTCGAGCGCTTCCGCTCCTTCCGGTCGTGCGTATGTGGGGTAAAGCAGCGGAGCTTTTATTATGCCACAGTCGACCGCTTCCGCTGCTTCCGGTCGTGCGTATGTGGGGTAAAGCAGCGGAGCTTTTATTATGCTAGAAATAGCAGCGCTATTTTATCATACTAGATACATCTGAAAGTTCTGTTATAATGCTACTCTGTGCGGTCGTCACCGGTCTATTAAAACACACAACATATTAAAGCGTGTTTGGTGTTTCCATGTTTTCTACAAAACAAAACCGGAAATCGAGGCAGCAAGCCTCAAGTTGGTAAGTTTTCACTAGGCTTTAGTGGAGTCAGCAGTTCGCTTGACAGTAAATAAGGATCTAAATGGATGAATTGGTTGAGTCCGCCCCTGAGCATGACGTTATCTGCCCACAGAACTCATTTTGCAGGACTCCACCCGAGCAGCTCATTTCCTCACAATCTTCAAGAAACATCTGGAGTCGGAACCCTTGTAAGTACTTGATCTGCTAAAATTAATAGACATCTATACCCTTAGACTACTTAAAAATGCTCGTACTTTTTTACACTTGTTTGCATAATTGTAGCAAAATTATTGTTTCCCTCCTCTATTACGACATGTTTATAGTAATTCTTTGTAGAATAGCTATAACTGGAAATAGGCTATAATGGATAAGACAGGCTACATCAAATATGAGAAATAGCGAAAGCATTAGTGGGCCTTTCGATTTGACATCATTTATTATACATTCAATACATAATTCTTGAACCTGTAAATGTAAAATCTGGAGTGATTTTAATCGGTTTCCTGTATATTGAAAAATATTCATACACTTTTAGTCTCATATATTCCTTTACTTTCACATTCAGCTTTCATTGGCACTTTTGTTCGACGGAAGACACAGCTCCCTCACAATCTTCAAGAAATATTCCTAGACGCATCTCTTCTGTAAGTATTTGATCTGTCTGTGCCATAAATTAAATGATGTTCAGAATAAAGACTTTGAATCTTGGTTTCGCAGTTTGAATGTGCCTTTAGTCAGCACCCTTTGGAGAAAGCGTCCTAAAGCCTATTTCACACATACTCCCGTCTGCCGTGCGTATTTTAGTTATTTAACGCACACGGTTGTTCCAGGAGCAGTGCAGCGATCATTTGTTTCACCCATGCGTTTCTGGATGCGGTCGTTACCTTACAGTGGTGGCAAACCCCTCAGGGAACCAACCCTCGGGGGACCATCGCTCCTCTAGCGCTTTGCAACCAGTTGAGCTGCCAAAGGAACGTACTGGGCCCTCTTCAAAGAGCGTACCAGCGGTATCCTTCAGTGCTCCTCCTTGGGGGAGAGCTCTCTGGAGAGGAAGATTCGGCTGCGCTGTCGCCCTCCGGGATGGTGGCAAAGCCTGGATCGGATCCAGAGATGTCGGTTAAGCTTTCCCGGGCCGCCGAGAGGGTAGGGCTCGAGTGGAAACCTTCACTGCGTCCCGGGCCCTTGAGGTTGGACGATTGGTTTCTCGGGGTGGCTCGCGCTGGTTCTCAGCGCTCGCCTCAGTGCCTTTCTTCCCAGAGGTGCATGAGAAGCTCACCAGGTCATGGACGGCACCTTTTACTGCCGGAAACTGACCTGCTGGTTCCTCCTCCCTCACCACCCTCGACGGTGGTGCAGCTAGGGGGTATACAAGGGTCCCCCCGGTGGAGCGGTCGTTTGCGATGCAATTATGTCCTAATACTGCCTCCACCCTCCCTCATGGGACGGGTGACCCAGAGAGGGAGGAAGCTGCTCTTTGGGGGATGGTGAAGGCACCTCTCCCTCCACCGGAGGAGGGCCGGGTAGAGAACCTGGAAAATCTCGACGAGAGAGCGGTTTTCTCTGTCCCTGGGTCCCAGGAGGGCACGGAGAGTCGTGGATGGACCAGCACCGGACCACACTCATCCAGCAGGCAGCAGCGGGCTGTTCGAGAGTGTCAACAAAGGCCCTACTCACGCACCCTCTGCCAAACTGTAGAACCAGGCAAGTGTTGCACCGCACACTCAGACCCCTCTTCGGTCCGCTCACAAGCCGCCCGAGTTGGGTCCCGGCATTCCACCTCGCTGCCCCACTGCGGGTACGGCGGTGGTTCCACTGGTCCCGCTTGTACGGTGTCTGGGTGCCTGGCTAGCGCTACCCAACCCGTCTCGTTGGCTACTGCGGATCATCAGCCTCGGCTATGCGATTCAGTTCACCCGGCATCCCCCCAAGTTCAGTGGCATCCACTTCACGATAGTGAAGGCGGCCGATGCTCCTGTCTTGTGTGTGGAGATCACAGTCCTACTGACGAAGGATGCGTACGAGCATATCAGTACGAGGTCCTGCCCTCCGGGCTGTCCTTGTCGCCCCGTGTCTTCACGTAAGTTGCGGAGGCAGCCCTTGTTCCCCTGAGAGAATAGGGCACTCGCATTCCCAACTACCTCAACGACTGGCTCATACTAGCTCAGTCTCAGCATCAGTTGTGTGTACACAGGGACTTGGTGCTCTCGCACCTCAGTCGGTTGGGCCTTCAGGGTCAACTGGGAAAAGAGCAAACTCCTGGGAGAGGATCTCTCTTCTCGGTATGGAGTTGAATTCGGTCAAACAGACAGTACGCCTCACAGAGGAACGTGCACGGTCGGTGCTGAACTGCTTGAATTCATTGAAGGAAAGGACAGCGGTCCCACTGAAACTATTTCAGAGGCTCCTGGGGCATATGGCAGCTGCAGCGGCAGTTACACCGCTGGGGCTGCTTCATATGAGACCGCTTCAGCACTGGCTTCATGGCCGAGTCCCGAGGTGGGCGTGGCAACGCGGCACTCACCGGGTCCAAGTTACACCGGCCTGTCGCCAAACCTTCACCCCGTGGTCAGACCTTGCATTCCTCCGGGCAGGAGTGCCCCTAGAACAGGTCTCCAGGCATGCTGTGGTTTACACGGATGCCTCCACCACCAGCTGGGGGGCCACGTACTGCACTGGCATGTATGGTAATATATTTTATTTTTCAGGATTCTTTGATAAAGTTCAATGAACAGCATTTATTTGCATTTATCAAATAAATTTATTAAAGCATTTATTAAATAGAAATCTTTTGTAGCATTTTAAATGTCTTCACTTTTCACTCACTTCATCACTTTAATGTATGATGAATAAAATTATTATTTTCTCTCTCTTTAAAAAATTTGAAATGTTTGAGTGGCAGGCTATCATTGTTTCCACAAAAATGTTAAGCAGCAAAAACGTTTTTTTAACATTGATAAAAATAAATAGTAAATGTTTCTTGAGCAGCAGATCATCATATTAGAATGCTTTCTGAAGGATCATGTGACGCTTCTCTTTGTAAACAACAACACATTTATAAACGATTCTAATGACGAATGTTGCGGTCCCAAATGCAAAATGAAAGTTAACATTAGAAATGCAAAATGAAAGCTACTCTAGCGCAGCTAGCATTTACAGCAGACCTGTAGCGTGCCAGACTATAGCCTATATTTATATAATTACATCACAACCGTTGTGAATTCTATGATAGTACTAAGCTCAAATTCTCACCAGCATTCATTAAAAAGTTTCCGGGTGAGTAACACGCTTCAGCGCTGATTCTACCGTTTGAAGCCTTTTAACTGTCCAGCACTCTACCATTCCGTCTGTTTGTATTAGAAAACATAACCTTTTCGCAGTTTATTTAGTTAATTGCTCAAGGCCATTTCACGATTTCAGTCATCATGCAGTAACCAGTATCACACATGATTTTAGGCCGAAATAACCGGACGAATCACATCCCTGTACTTTAGCTAATTAGCTAAAGCAATACTGAGGCCCTTTGCCCACAATGTTCATTAAAAAGATTTTTACAAATGATAGGGGTAACTGAAATCCTGAAATCTATTCTGCTTTTATGCTGCTTGTGTTAGCACAACTTAAACAAAAGTTAGTGCAATGTTAACAAAAACTGGTAAAAAAGTACTTTGAATTTCCACAATTGTAACAGAATTAATATAGGTATTATATTAATGATATTATATTAAGCATTAATAGAATTGTTATTATTAAATTACCTGCCAAAATTTGGAAACATTAGTTAATGATTTTGAAATGAATCTCTTCTGCTCACCAAGGCTACATTTATTTGATCAAAAACAAAAAACAGCAATATTGTGAAATAGTATTACATATAAAACAAGTTTTCTATTTTAATATATTATAAATGTCTTTTATTCCTGTGATAAAAAGCTGAATTGCCAGCATCATTACTCCAGTTTTCAGTGTCACATGACCCTTCAGAAACCATTACAATTGATTTGAAGCTCAAGAAACATTTCTGATTATTATCAATGTTGAAAACAGTTGTGCTGCTTCTTATTTTGTGGAAATGGTAATATATTTAATTTTTCAGGATTCTTTGATAAAGTTCAATGAACGGCATTTACTTGCATTTATCAAATAAATGTATTAAAGCATTTATTAAATAGAAATCTTTTGTAGCATTTTAAATGTCTTCACTTTTCACTCACTTCATCACTTTAATGTATGATGAATAAAATTATTATTTTCTCTCTCTTTAAAAAATTTGAAATGTTTGAGTGGCAGGCTATCATTGTTTCCACAAAAATGTTAAGCAGCAAAAACGTTTTTTTAACATTGATAAAAATAAATAGTAAATGTTTCTTGAGCAGCAGATCATCATATTAGAATGCTTTCTGAAGGATCATGTGACGCTTCTCTTTGTAAACAACAACAAATTTATAAACGATTCTAATGACGAATGTTGCGTTCCCAAATGCAAAATGAAAGTTAACATTAGAAATGCAAAATGAAAGCTACTCTAGCGCAGCTAGCATTTACAGCAGACCTGTAGCGTGCCAGACTATAGCCTATATTTATATAATTACATCACAACCGTTGTGAATTCTATGATAGTACTAAGCTCAAATTCTCACCAGCATTCATTAAAAAGTTTCCGGGTGAGTAACACGCTTCAGCGCTGATTCTACCGTTTGAAGCCTTTTAACTGTCCAGCACTCTACCATTCCGTCTGTTTGTATTAGAAAACATAACCTTTTCGCAGTTTATTTAGTTAATTGCTCAAGGCCATTTCACGATTTCAGTCATCATGCAGTGACCAGTATCACACATGATTTTAGGCCGAAATAACCGGACGAATCACATCCCTGTACTTTAGCTAAAGTGTTTTATCAATACTGAGGCCCTTTGCCCACAATGTTCATTAAAAAGATTTTTACAAATGATAGGGGTAACTGAAATCTTTTACGTGATTCTGCTTTTATGCTGCTTGTGTTAGCACAACTTAAACAAAAGTTAGTGCAATGTTAACAAAAACTGGTCAAAAAAAGTACTTTGAATTTCCACAATTGTAACAGAATTTTCTCTTTCTCTCTTTTGACGTCATATACCTGAAAAAACTATAATATCTTCTACCATTAAATGGAGTCAACTTTGGCAGGATATGGGTTCATCTGGTTCCACAAAGGGTTCATCTGGTTCCACAATGGGTTCAACTGGTTCCACAATGGGTTCATCTTTTGGCCCATTCAGTTCAATTTGGGCAAGATATACACAAGCTGTGGAGGAGAAAGAACGATACAAGAAGCAATTGAATGCTTTTAAGATGAGAGAAGAAGAAAAGAAGGAACTAGGTTCCACAAAGGGTTCATCTTTTGGCCCATTCAGTTTTTGGGCAGGATATACACAAGCTGTGGAGGAGAAAGAACGATACAAGAAGCAATTGAATGCTTTTAAGATGAGAGAAGAAGAAAAGAAGGAACTAGACAAGAAGAACAGATCTAAAGAGGAAGAAGAAAGGAAAAGAATTCACATAAAAGAGAAAAACAATGAAAAAGACATTAAACAACACAATGTGTGATGTACAACACTAGTGCCTTTTAAAATAGTTCACAGAGATTCATCACGTGGGGTTACTAGCCGTAATTGTGCAGTATTTTGTAGCATTCCTTCTTGCTGTTGAAAGTGATGGCATAAATCGTTATGTTTATCTTCTGTATGTTTCTATAACTCCGGATTACAGATTAAAATGAACCATCCTTACAGATCTTCATCTTTTATAATGTGTTATTGAGCTGTATTGCTGTCACATAAGAGCATACTTATGTTATTTCCCTTTTGCACTGCCTAACAACATGCAATAATGAATAAATCACTCATTTATCTAGAAACCCAAGACCAGTGTG